CTAAAGTTGCACCTCCACATATGTGGGCCTCTATCCCTTGCACATCCGGATCCCCTTGGCAGTACATCAATAGGAAGAAGGGTGGTGCAGCATTCATGAGGAAGCTTGCCCGCCAAGTCAAAGAGTCCAAACGGTTGTTTAAGAGTTTCTCTAAACGAGCTGAAAGGGTTCTCAATCATGGTGGTACTGTAACGTTTGAATGGCCAAGACCTTGCTCTGGCTGGAACAGGCCTGACGTTGTAGCATTCTTTGAGAAACACCCCCAGTTTATGACCGTTGGTTTTGAAGGGTGTACCGTAGGTTTAACCGACAGAAATGGTTATCCCATCAAAAAGCCATGGAAACTCAAGACTACTTCTCCCCGAATTGTGGAGGCGTTTCAAGATATGCGGTGCCGATGCCAGCAACCTCATTCCAGATGTGAGGGAGCTGAGACCACTCGCTCCGCAATGTATCCGCCCCAAATGACTAATCTAATTGCGCAAGCTTTGTTTCCCTCAAAATGTGCTCAGCAGCCCGTTCCTGCTATGCCTTGCCGACCGGCAACTAGCGAGCCTCAACCCCATAGGGAAATTGAACAACACCTTAAAGCACGTATCCCCATTAGCTGGTTTTGAAGATTTAGCTGTTGCAGTTGAGTCAGACCCCACCGCTAATAGGTTAGTTACAGAACTTCTTGACCATGAACACTTGATCGCGCAAGCCCTTCACCTGGAGGACCCAAAGGCGCCAACGCCTGAGATCAAAGCAATGGTCACCAAGCTTCTGTCTCGTGCAGAGATGCTGTCCAATCCCAAGGCCCTTGAGGCAATTCGTGCCGAAGCCGATGGCTTGGTGAAAGCTGGCACATGGGATCTTGGCTCAGTCCGCGAGAAGGAAGATGTGCGCAAAGAAGCTAAGGCTTCGGGTGTGTCAGTACACTGTGGTCAGCTCATGACCATCGCGTCCATTAAATTCTACGAGCTCGCAGACCACCTTCACAAGATGAAGGGGCGCATCGTGTACAGAGGAGACTGCGCAAAGGACGAACATGGTGCAGCCGCAGTTTACCAAGAACTCGGCGCAAACCCCACCTCCGTCCAAGGGCTCAACGCCTGCTTAGCGTATGGGTCGCTGCCGGGCAACCGCGCGACGGCTGCAGATGCAGTCAAAGCTTACGTTCAAGCACTGTTACCTTCCAAATACAAAACCTGGATTGAGCTTCCCCCGGAGCTCCGCCCTAAGTATTGGAAGCAACAGTTTGTTAAGCCCGTAGTCCTCTTAATTAAAGCCTTATACGGTCATCCAGATGCCGGAGGCCTGTGGGAACAACACCTGAAAGTCATCATCAAGAACCTTGGAGGGCAGGAAGTTCCAGAATACCCAGGAAACTTTTACTTCCCAGATACTAAGTTACTTCTGTCAACTTATGTAGACGATTTAACTCTAGCTGGCCCCGCCGACCAGCATGATGCATTCTGGAGTAAGTTAACTTCTGTGGTTGACATAGAACCCCCAGAGCCCATCTATAGGATTCTTGGACGCAACCATGTTGTTACCCCACTTTCCAAGACCGAAGGTCATGACAGGTGTGCAGCCTTCCAATCCCAAACTGGCATGGTTTTTGATATGGCAGACTACGCTCAGCAGACCGTAGATTTGTATAAATCAATAACTGGTGTCACCAAACTCAAGCATGCCGCTACGCCATGTCCACCTGAGGGATCCATCACCATAGAGGATGATGAAACTAAAGGGGAACTAGCTCCAAACGCATGTAAGATTTTGATGAAAGCCCTTTGGTTAGGTAGACTTGCACGTCCCGATATCATCAAGCCTATCAATGATCTGGCCACGAAGGTCCAGGCGTGGTCCAGGGGGGATGATAAGAAGGTCCTAAGATTAATCCAGTACATAGCCTCAACCCCACACTATAGGTTAGTAACGGTTAGTAGGTACCATTCAGGACAAGCCTGAAGACCTAGAGCTCAGACTGTTTGTCGATGCCGACTTCGCCGGCGACAGATCAACTGCACGCTCAACCTCTGGTGGCTTTCTGGCTTTAACTGGCCCTAGCTCCTTCTTCCCACTTGCATGGATTAGCAAGCGCCAAACATCCACTTCTAGATCGACCACGGAAAGCGAGGTTGTTAGTTTAGCCCATTCGCTTTATCAAGAAGGCTTGCCTGCCTTACAGTTATGGGAGCTGTTGCTTGCACGCTCCGTAACCTTAAGGGTCCACGAAGATAACCAAGCAACAATCCTAGTTGTGAAGAAAGGATATAGTCCCACGCTTCGCCATATAACTAGAACACACAAAGTTAATTTGTCTTGCCTGTCTGAAGTCTTCAGAGATGACTCTGCCGAGATAGAGTACATCCATACCGACGATCAGGCGGCAGACATATTTACCAAGGCATTGCCTCCACACAAATGCGCAGCAGCACTAATCCTTTTAGGAATCCGTACTGATCTTCCCTTAGACCTTAAATCCCAAGCATAGGTCACTGTGAGCGTCCGTTCACGCGACAGTAGTTGCTTAGGATGCTGCCAATGCGCAGTGCGTGTGGAACAGGCGAGGGGGGAGTTGAAATATATCGACCCCTGAGCCCCACTATGTATAGCATAGGTAGTAGGTCATATGTAGAGCACTGCCGTAGCTATGAGTCCAACTATAATCCAATGTAGCTATTCCCATTAATGATGTACAGAATAGCACCTCCTATATAATTGCAGTAGATAGGTAGAGAGCCAGAGTTAGAAGTAGGTAGTCTTAGTATCTCAACAACTACCGGGGTATAATTAATAGATTACGCTGCTGACGCAATGGCTCAAGTGCGGAAAAGTTCCGTGCTTGTTGTTTGTTCTTTCATGCGGGGTTTGTTGAATTGGGTTCCCTTTTCTTTTGGGGTGTCCGGTTCTTCCCCCTGTTTGACTAACTTACAACTTACCCAGAAATCAGCTAATATCAACTTACCCAGAAATCAGCTAATATCAACTTACCCAGAGCTCAGCTAATATCAACTTACCCAGTTATAACTCAACTTACAACTTACCCATAAATCAGCTAATATCAACTTACCCAGTTATAACTCAACTTACAACTTACCCACAAAACAGCTAATATCAACTTACCCAGTTATAACTCAACTTACGACTTACCCACAAATCAGCTAATATCAACTTACGCAGAAATCAGCTAATATAAACTTACCCAGTTATAACACAACTTACAACTTACCCACAATCAGCTAATATCAACTTACCCAGAAATCAGCTAATATCAACTTACCCAGTTGTAACTCAACTTACAACTTACCCACAAATAAACTAATATCAACTTACCCAGTTATAACTCAACTTACAACTTACCCACAAATCAGCTAATATCAACTTACCCAGTTATAACTCAACTTACAACTTACCCAGAAATCAGCTAATATCAGCTTACCCAGTTATAACTCAACTTACAACTTACCCAGAAATCAGCTAATATCAACTTACCCAGTTATAACTCAACTTACAACTTACCCACAAATAAGCTAATATCAACTTACCCAGTTATAAGTCAACTTACAACTTACCCACAAATCAGCCAGTATCAACTTACCCAGTTATAACTCAACTTACAACTTACCCACAAATCAGCTAATATCAACTTACCCAGTTATAACTCAACTTACAACTTGCCCACAAATCAGCTAATATCAACTTACCCAGAAATCAGCTAATATCAACTTACGCAGTTATAACTCAACTTACAGCTTACCCACAAATCAGCTGATATCAACTTACCCAGAAATCAGCTAATATAGACTTACCCAGTTATAACTCAACTTACAACTTACCCAGAAATCAGCTAATATCAACTTACCCAGTCATAACTCAACTTACAACTTACCCACAAATCAACTAATATCAACTTACCCAGTTATAACTCAACTTACAACTTACCCAGAAATCAGCTAATATCAACTTACCCAGTTATAACTCAACTTACAACTTACCCACAAATCAGCTAATATCAACTTACCCAGTTATAACTCAACTTACAACTTACCCACAAATCAGCTAATATCAACTTACCCAGTTATAACTCAACTTACAACTTTCCCAGAAAGCAGCCTATATCAACTTACCCAGTTCTAACTCAACGTACAACTTACCCAGAAAAATCAGCAATATCAAACTACCCAGTTAAAATGCAACTTACAACTTACCCACAAAACAGCTAATATCAACTTACCCAGTTATCACTCAACTTACAACTTACCCACAAATCAGCTAATATCAACTTACCCAGAAATCAGCTAATATCAACTTACCCAGAAATCAGCTAATATAGACTTACCCAGTTATAACTCAACTTACAACTTACCCAGAAATCAGCTAATATCAACTTACCCAGTTATAACTCAACTTACAACTTACCCACAAAACAGCTAATATCAACTTACCCAGTTATAACTCAACTTACAACTTACCCAGAAATCAGCTAATATCAACTTACCCAGAAATCAGCTAATATCAACTAATAACCAACTTACCCAGAAATCAGCTAATATCAACTTATCCACAAATCAGCTAATATCAACTTACCCACAAATCAGCTAATATCAACTTACCCACAAAAATCAGCTAATATCAACTTACCCACAAAAATCAGCTAATATCAACTTACCCACAAATCAGCTAATATCAACTTACCCAGTTATAACTCAACTTACAACTTACCCAGAAATCAGCTAATATCAACTTACCCAGAAATCAGCTAATATCAACTTACCCAGAAATCAGCTAATATCAACTTACCCAGAAATCAGCTAATATCAACTTACCCAGAAATCAGCTAATATCAACTTACCCAGAAATCAGCTAATATCAACTTACCCAGAAATCAGCTAATATCAACTTACCCAGAAATCAGCTAATATCAACTTACCCAGAAATCAGCTAATATCAACTACCTTCAACTCCAAATCCCTATTTTCCCAGCTTTTTCCCAACGTCTTGCAGAGGCCATGGCCGAGCCGTTGCCGGTCACCGCCTGGCGCACATTGGCCAACAGCTTCACGGTGACGCTGCCGCGCCCCGTTGGGAGCTTCGAGGAGGGAGCGCCTTGGACGATTTTTCGGGGTTTTCCATCGGGTTTATCCAGAGAATATGGATTGAATATGGTTGTAATAGGGATTTGATTCGGATTTTTCTGTCTGGTTGGTGGTGACTGGAACCATGGAATTTGATGAATTTCCCATCTTATTGGGAATGTCATGTCATCCCAACTGACGAACTCATATTTTTGAGAGGGGTAGGTTGAAACCACCAACCAGATATGATGTAATGTCAACCCTGGATTAATCACCCCTAGGCTGTTTAATTGGGAGGGTACAATAAAAAAGTATCAGATTATGACTATTGGAGGAGTACCCACCCTAATTAATAAAGCGTGGTTTATTAATCCGGGGTTGACATTCATGGTCATATGGGAATATATCCATTACATGATGGTTTCCATGGAGATTATATCCGTATGGGCTTTCCATGAGGTCATGGGGGTACCCCGCTTGCGAGCTGGATGGTTTATTTTATGGAACATCCGGACATTAAATGGATGATGTAGGGGGATATAATGGGAGTGTAATGGTCATATGGGAATATATGGGAATATGTGGGTTGACCAGGAATTTAATGGTAGAGTTTCTAATCCTACAGTAGCTAGTCTCACTTGGTATGGGATTATCTGTAGTTACTGTAGGTAACTAGTATCATGGTCAATCTTAGATGGATACTTTAATCCTCTGGTCTTTTGGTATGGGAATATCTACGTTCACCAGCTAAGAATTTAATTTTCTGCAGGATATCTAAGATTGGCCATGATAATATGGACACCTATAGTAGGTAAATATGTATAATTAGGATTATACTATCAATGTTTATAGATCTATATCATATGCTTACATCATGTTATATCTATAATTAGGTTTCTATCGGTTTATCCATATAGGTAAAAATCTCTCTCTCTCTATATATATATATATATATATCCCCATTATATGGTCATATCTGTAGAATCTATAGGTACGATATCTCCGATATTTCTACAACTATGATTAGAATGATTACTATGGGTATAATTACTATGATTACTATGGTAATATAATGGAAATATCAGGGGAATATCATGGATTGGGATATATCACCAACAATTTAATATATCCAATTTGCTATGGAGATACCCCCAAATGGATGGTTTCATGGAAAATACGATTTTTTCAATGGATGATCTGCAGGTATTTTCAATGGATTGGACACCTCCACATGGTTTATATTAATGTATACATGCTTACATGCTTAAAAAAAACTGGATTTTAAGTGGGAAATATCCGTGGAAACTATGTATTACTATATATGGTAACTATATTTTATATGCGAATCTGGAGGATTTAATCTCACTTATGGATCTGCGCAAAATTTTTAGTGGATCATGTTCACCAGTAAGATGGTCCGTCTTCGTTTTTTCGCGTTCGTTGTTGGTGAATATAACTCCAATTTCACTAGGTTTTTTGTCGGTGATATATCGAACTAGTTTATCTCTAGTAAGCTAAGTATGATTTATGGCAAGTATAATTTATAACTGGGGGACCTAACTTATGATTTAGGTGGCTGAATTCTATGGTTTATGGTAGATATATCGAACTACTTAATGGGGTTTATACACCTTGCCAGCAGCAAGGGGATAGAAACCAAGATGTAAACCATGATGATGATGATGATGATTTGCTGCGTATTGGTTTAACCAACAAATATGTGGGATATAATAACAATTGACAAGCGCTAATATCCAATGGAGTTTTGGTTATAGAACTAGGAAAATGAGGTTTGGGAGGATTTAGGTGTTGGGAGGTAACCATAAGAAATGGTATTGCGGGGAAGAAAAAAAGACCATTTTGCGATGCTTCTATGGTAGTATGTAGGATGTACAACCAACAGTATGTATATATTATGCATAACATATACATATATACATATATAATACGCACCCTGGCTTTGGGTGGTTAAACATTAAAGGGACACTTGTTTGGTACCAAACCATCCATACTTGGGATATAATGGGATACAATGGAATATACAATCAACTCACATGATATATAACACCCCGCCTAAAAAAACTAGAATTTCCTAAGATCCTTACTGAAATAGTGGCCATAATTTTTCAGCTCTTCTCTTTTTCGGCGGCTAAACCGTCTGCACCCCGTTGGGTTTCGGCTGAGGCGGGTGATGCGCAGGGTCTGCAGATCATAGCGCGAAGTTCCATGAATTTGGGTTACAGCGCGACAGATCCATCGGCGCCACCAGTGATGCTGCACGCCAAGGTGGGATGGGATGGTTGTGGGATGGTCAGGTGGGATGGGCAAGAAATGGCCAAGTTCTTTATGAACATAAAACAAAAAAATTGGATACTAGTGGTATTTATGATGGTTTTTGGAGTGGTTTTAGTGTGTTTCTTGCGGTATTTGATGATATAGGACGGGATGTAAAAGGATGTACATATAATCACACACACATATATATATATCACTTGGATTTGCTGAAGATGATTTTTATTTTCTCCATGGGAAATCCACTACGACTGGGGAATCGATGAAGGGAATATTTTTCATTTTTGCTCCGTGGTTCCTTAAGCAAATCCATGATAACCAACACGTGTTGGTATGAGTGTGTCGGAAAGATAGATATACCAAAATGTCTATTAAGTATCAATTCATTCGGAGCATGATGATTCACCAGTGGATGGTTCTCAGACAAACCGGTTCCAGTCTAGAAAGAGAGTTTCTGCACGTGGTTAAATAGTCATTTTTGGGTTAAAGCGGTTAAGCATTGCTTGAAATGGTGATGAAACATCCCACCCCAAACAATCTGGTTCAGGAATGGTCCTATTCATTTTAGGACCCATGTGTGGCGTATTTTTTTTCAGTTTGGGCGATGGGATTGGTGGCTATGAAGAACCCAATCCACCTGCCAGGGTCATGTTTGCGGAAGAAACATGTTGGAAATCATGCCGGATTCCCATTGGTTGGTTGATGAAAAAAGAGGCGTTTCTGAAGAGAACCCCCTGAAAAACAGGTAAATGATGAATAATGATGATAGACTTACTGGTGCTAAACGCAGGGAATTTTCGGGAATGATCCATTTCATCACTAGTAATGTCATCATCCCAGCAACCCCCAGCAACCCATCCATTCCCTACGTTTAGCACCAGTACGTAGATGATATAGATAGCATACCAAATGGGCCCAGTTACTTATTTTTACCTTTTAACATTGGAAATCCCAGCCGCAACCTATAGGCGGGGTTGCCTCTCCTAGTTTGCAGGGACCTCACCCTGCAGATTTGATCTATGAAAAATCGAAAATCGGAAAATCCAGCATTTGGATCCTGAAATCCCTGGATTTCCATCGTTTCCGAAACGTCAACTACGGGAGGTTCACCGGTTCACCGGTTCGTTTTTTGGGGGCAAAGGTTCTCACCATGGCACGTGGGGAAAATCAGATCCAGATCCCCATCCCAGGTGACGTCACCCTTCTCCACTGCAGACTTGCAGGTGCCGCTTGTTGCGACGGGTTTTAGTGGCTGCGTGAAAGAGACCTTGGTTGAGAAAAAAGGGGATTTAGTAGGGAGATGTAGAGATTTAACCATCATTTAGTCATCATCATTTAACCATCATTTAACCATCATTTATGATTATTTATGAATCAGATTTTAAGCATCAAACATATGGGGATTTTCTATTTGACAAATATTGATAAAGGATGGTTGGTTGATGATTAAATGAATATGTCATGGGAATATTTCATGGCGATATGATGGGATATACATGACCAACAATATGGTACCTGATGATGAGTTGATGATTGTGGGGGGTTCTACTATCCGATATGTACCCGGCCTGGTAAACATACAAAAAAACTATGGAACATCACCATTTTTCATGGGATAATCAACTATAAATGGCCATTTTCAATGGCTATGTTAGTTTACCAGAGGGTACTGGGATAGTATCATCGTCCATTATTGTAATCTCGTTCTGAACGCCAACCAGTACAATGGAACGACACAACTCGGGTTTCGAACACTGCTCACCTGCAGATTGGATTTTAGCCAACTCACTCTGCGCAGAGATTCTAGATCCACACTCACCACCATCACCACCATCATCCAGTTGTTTTGCTGCTTTTAAGACTTTTTAAGATGTTGTAAGTCCTCTTATTCTAGGGATATGAGTCATGTAAGTCGCACGCATGGCACAACATTCCACGCAAATTCAACAGACCTGAGGTTTCACTTCCTCCCGAGCCATGCTACGAGGATCACGTGACCTGCAGCCGTCCCCTGCTAAGCATGGAGGACTTACGCTGCACAGTGGAAAACCAGTTGCAAGCCCACGTAGGGACTGGTTTCATGGACCGGGAATGGTGGGTCCGCTTTCTGCAGATCATTGGCGGCACAGAGCAGGAAGCACGTGCCCTGCTGAAAGGCCAAGGGGCCAAGATCAGCAGTCACACAGTTTTTGGATTTCCTTTTCGGCCCAAAAGATGTCACGGTGCTTACAGCAGAGAATAGTGACAACACCACAAGGACCAAGAACTTGAGAGAATACTTCGAGAAGCACTACCGCGAAGGAGGACATTTCTGTCATTCTGACTATGAGATCTTTGGCGATGTTGCAATTTTCACGTGGATGCACAAACCAACTGGGATCCAAGTGTGGCGCGATGCCATTGACCTGACCTCAGGTGATGGTGGGCAAGTGTTTTTTCATTACACGAGCGAACTTGCCTTCGGAAACATCACCCATCCCAGCAAGGAAGCGGCTGAAATTTGGGCATCTTTGAGAACCGAAGGGCCCAACGCCAATGCCTGGTGGGGCAAGGGGATCTATACAGTCCCATTGCCTCCTGACCAGTGGGAAAGTCGTGAGCAGCTGCTAGACAACAATTTCCGCAACATGATGCAGAGAGACAGAGACAGCGATGATCCACAGAAAGGTCCAGCATATGTAGATAGAGAATATCCCAAGAAGGCAGCCTTTTGCGTCCCAATCCTCATCGATCCTGCGAATGCCTTCGATGTCTCCATCAGAGCCACTCCAGAAATGGAGGCAGCAGGGAAGGAACCAGGCAGGAATCTTGCGAACAAACTCTTGAACGAGCCGGGCAAGCCTCCTCGCTCTTGTGTGGTGCTCCGAGTGTCTGGTGAGCATGGTGTCCAACATGCCCGCGCACAGTTGCTGAATACCCTGCGCCAGCGTGTGCGCCTCGCACCTGCAGACCTGAACGCCAAGCAGAGGCTGGCTACCACACTACGACTGCGTGGCTTCTATCAGGAGGCGTTGCCTGTGGCTCAGGAACTGGTGGAACTTTGTGCGTCAACATACGGTCCTGAGAGTGCCAAAGGTTTAGTATGTCATTCAACGCTGACTGCCATTCTGTACGAAATGGGCAACTTGCGGGAAGCTGAAAAGCTTTGTCGAGAAATCCTCGATGCCGACTTGAAAGCTTTTGGTCCTGAGCATGAACTTACGGCCTTCTCTATGGGGGAATTGGCCGTAACTTTTTCAAAAATGGAGGGTCGTGAAGGTGAAGCTGCTGAGTTGTTTCGCAATGTTTTAGCCTTCAGAGAAAAGCGGTTGGGTCCTAGCCATGTTGCTACTTTGAGCACGATGGCTAACTTGGCCATCACCCTGAATGACATGGGCAATCATCAGGAAGCAATCGAATTGCACCGCAGGGCTTTGGAGGCCAGAGAAAAGACATTGGGCCCCGAGCATCCTGAGACTTTGCAGTCTGTTAGCCACTTGGCACTCGCACTGCATGGCAGAGGTGATCTGGGTGAAGCCTTGACGCTGCAAAGGCGTGCTTTAGAAGCCAGAGAAAGACTTCTGGGTTCTCAACACCCAAGTACCTGCAGGTCGTTGGAGCGATTTACGTCAATACTGCTTGACATGATCAACAAGAGGGTGGAGGTGCCAGGTGAAATTGTAGAGCTGTGCCGCGAACTAGTGGCAGGCAGAGCAAAGATACTGGGCCATCATCATCCAGATACAGTGGACGCTATGGCGGCCTTGGCATTGAGCCTGACCGGGGCTGGCAACTACCGTGAAGCGGTTGGGTTGCTTCGTCAGGTCTTAGAAACCAGAGAGAAGGAGCTAGGAGTTGATCATCTTACTACTTTGCACATCGTCACCATCTTAGGCTTTGCCCTGGAAGAACTGGGTGATTTCAGTGACACGAACTTGCACTGCAGGGCTTTGGAGGCGAGAGAAAAGCTCGGTGCCATGAATTAGTCAGATTTGTAGAGACCATGCAGTCCTTCCGGGCACTGCCAAATGCCAGTGGGGGGGTGCTGCTTAAAACTGTTTTCACCAATCGCGAAAGAAAATTCAGACCCGCTTGCCTTTCACCCTTTCACCCAAAGATCCAACAATGACTCCATGTTTAGTATTTGCCTTGCGGTGGGCCCTGCTCCCAGTTGTATGTTCAGGTCATTAAAATAGCAAGGATTCACAGGTCGCTTATCCATTGCCCCATTGAACTCGGCAACCTGAGTGGCTATGTTTCTTAGGGATCTTAGCTACTTCATCTGGGGCTCCAGTTTGGATGGACTGGGTATGAGTCATATCCCGAGTTGTATCAATGGCATTCAATGGCCAATGTATTAGTGCGGGATTATCCGGAGCTGTTATGGCAACCAGGCCGTGACTTAAGGAGATTCTCAGCCAGCCTTTTTTTCCAAATTCTTGGGCGCCAAGATGATGGAACCAAACAAAAATGGTCATTTAAATGCACTGATCCATAGCCCAAACATAAACAAAGCCCTGGCCATGCGCTGAGTTGGCGCTGCAGGTGACATTTTACGAGAATGGTCAACCGCTGGGAGAGCCGATTCCATTGGCTGATGGCACCTAGGTTTTTCTTTTCCTAGGGGAAGAGATAGAAAAGATGGGATTTTCATGGGATTTGAATGACTTCACCAACCAAACTTGGGATATATTTGGAGATTTTTCACTGACTGATTCTACTGTTTTTTTTTTTTTTAAATGGTTTTCTAGAACTGTTTTCTTTCCAGGTTCATTCTGAGTTCATCCGCAATCCAGCTGCAGTTTGGGATGTCCCAACTTTCCCCCTGAAAATTGGGTCTTTCTAGCCACCTGAAGTTACAAGAGGGTATGCCACACCAGCCGCATGTTTTTTTTTGAATCAACTCAGGAGGTGATGACTTCCACATAAGTTACATGTTGATCAAATTTCTGCTATACTAAAATTTGAAAAATATTTTGCATAATTGAAGTGACATCTAAGTATTGTGGGAATTGGGGAATATCCCGAGTATTATCCCAATATTATGCTAACAACAAATCTATATAAGTATATCCAATTATATTGGGAAGATTAGACGTGGCAATACTAATTATAATTCCACTTCTTACAGCAAGACGATTGGATACTTATATCATCGTGGCAATACTCCCATACTTGAAAGATCATATTCGATTCCACTTTCTTATGGTTAACAAAGGATTGGTTTGTTTGGGAACATCTTAACCGGAAACCATCGTTTTTCCCATTAAATATGGGAAATAAATATGGGACAAAGAACGGTTTCAATTTTCCCTTCAGCCAATCCAGTGCATGGTTACAGGATGGTGCCCCCCAGTTATAAGTGGGTTTATAAACCCCATTAACTATAGTTATATCTGCCATAAACCATAGTTATGGGACTTATAAATCAACTTAGCTAACTATGGGGCACCACCTTGTAGTATCCCACACATTTTTTTTTGTTCCATCGACGTGACCGTTTTGAAAAATGCTTCACCTCTGACATCGTGAGGCAATGGATACCGGGCCACGGCTGGGCCGGTGGTAAAAGACGCCTTCTACGAGGTGGGTCTAACAATGGGAGGATGGTGCCATGGCTGGAAACCCAAAGAAACAACAATTTGGTAAAAACAACAATAAACCACCTACCGTTAATCATCTTATGGTTATTCAGAAGGATATCATTAGCATGATATTTCGATGGTTAATAATAGTCATGTGGGAATCCACAATGCCATTTTTACCACCCATAGTAGTAGGGGATGGTTATATTCGTAGGAGATACAAGTATGTTATCTAATGTCAAGTATGTTAAACCACAAAAATGACTGGGAATGGTTATTGATAGCACCTGGAAATTCATGGTGATTTTTCTGGGGGATGGTTTTTCCATGACAGCCAGTTTTAGTTACCTAGCCATATGAAGCCCTGGCGATGTCCAAGGTCCAAGGATAGGAACTGCAGTCCCAGGGATTTCAGGAGAAAAAGGTGGGGATGCCACAAGAACATCGGTGAAGAATCAACATGGAGGTATCTATGTATCACCAAGAAAATGAGGAGTTGGATAGGTTGGATGGGGTCTCAGATCCAAGTTTGGTAGATGAACATCGACAAAGGGCAGCATTGGTGTTTGACCAGTTGACCATTGGCGAACTGATCCATATACCGATGGCAGATTTGGGGTCTGGAATCACCTGCATGGTTTATTTGGGGAAGTTTGGTTGCACTGAAAGATCTGAAAGTATACACACCATTGCGCATCTGGTGGTTCAACTTAAACCAATTGGAACAGCCTTGTGGCCCTTGTGACAGCAGCGCTAGCGTGGCCAGGCTCACACTTACGCGGACCGGACACTATGGATTCATGGATTCCTCTGGTTACCATGATATTTGGGTACCCGGCCTGGTAAACGTTTACAAATTGCGAACTTGAACATGGCCCAGTCGAAATAGTGGATGACTACCCATTAATTCAGAGCAGGTCGTGACACCTCGTGGATCTTTCCAGTTCGCTATGTGTCCGGTTACCTTTTTTTGGGTACCCAGTTGGCCCGATTTTTTCGCTCCAGTGATGCTGATTTTCCAGCCTTGCAAGGTGGTGCCCCAGTTCGTGAACGCTAAGTTGGTGCAAATAAGTCCCATTTCACTATGGTTTATGGCAGATATAACGAACTAGTTTTCATGGGGTTTATAAACCCACTAACAAAACTGGGGGGCACCATCCTGTGGGGTCAGTCCAATTTGACAATTTCATCTGTTTCAGGACAGTTATACGCCCGCATCATCCCTCATTGTTGTCATTGAGCTAGCCTTCTTGGGTATGACATTACCAATTTCCAGTATTAGAGTAAGATAATTTTCGGCAACATATTTAAAAAGCCTTCTTCAGATACCTAACCAGTTCAAACATCAAGCTTCCCGTTTTCGCTGTTCAACGATCCATGTCTGGAAAAAAAAACACCCTCCAGTAAACGTTGCATATGGCAAACCACTGCTTTCCCCAGGAAATCTTCATCTTGGCTTTGATCTTCATCTTCATCATCTATCTTCATCTTAAATCCTTTTCTGGTTGGTGGTTTGGAACCATGGAATTTTTTGACTTTCCATTCAGTTGGGAATGGAAAATCATCCCAACTGACGAACTCCATCATTTGTCAGAGGGGTTGGTTGAAACCACCAACCAGTTAAAAAAAAACCTTGCCTTGTTTTCCTAGAACTACCTACCTTTGAAATCTCTTTGAAATCCATAAATGTCGGGTATCTCCAGAGTCGAGAAGCCTTCCAGGTGGTGTTGTTTCACGTGCCGCGGACGCCTTCCTCCAGGATGGGCTTGGCGTCCAGTTGGAGCGCCGTTGAAGATGACGCCGAAAAAAGGCGGATGTAAGCCATAAATGGTGGTTGTTTGATAGTTCGATCTGGGAAAAACAAAGGAAACACATAGGAAAATATGGGAACATATGGGAACATATGGGAAAATATGGGAACATCATCAACAAATGGAGGTTTATAGCTGTGAAAATCATCTATAACTGATGGTTCAGCAGCTGAACCAACATGGGGCATTTTCATGGACTTATCAGACTGTGGATGGGCCAGCGAAATCCGAATCACCAGTTGATTGCTGGTAAACATCCCATTCTTTACAGGCTTTCAAGCATCTGTTTGGTGGAGCAGGATTTCGCAACCATCCACAGCTATCAGCATCGTGGGGTACGGGATAACCCAATGCAAGAAATGGATACTGTGATGGTGGTTTATCATTGTTTTCCCCATGAAGATTGCCAGAAATCCACCTAAAAGTTTTGGACTTTTCCCCAATTTTTGAAGGTTCAATCCATTCATCAAGGTGAACTCCTCAATTTACGAAGGTTCTGAAAGACTGTTCGAGTTTTTGCAAACCCGTTAGCATCACCATATTGTTGGTTATATATCCGTTATCCCTATATTCTGACTATATAACCATATATAGTAACCCCACACCAACAGGATAGAAAAGGAGAATCCAATCCAACAAATAGTGGTAAATTCAACCTTTTCTGCATCTATTTTTTTGGTCATACTATACCCATTAGCCAAACTATCGTTGATGATGATTATGAATAAATCCAACCTATTCCCATAGTATTTGCCTCCCAACCCTTGAAGCCTTTACGTGACTGAACAAAATGGCACGTGTTTTTGATTACAATCATATCCCCATTCTATCTCAACAACTGGCCTTGATTTAATTTTTGATGATTTACTTCTTGTTGTTGATGACTCGATCTCGTAATTCTACCCCCCAAACTACCGATAATCCTATTATGATAGTCTGACTAATCCTAATCACATTCCATAAATCCTACTAGATTGTAGCATTCCATCTCTCCTATACCATAGTCCATGATTCCTTCCTAGAAATCACCGGTTTTCCATAGAAAACCCACCGGTTTTCCATAGGAAACCGTGGCGGGCGCCACGACCAGGGTGTAGCGTCACGGCCAGGACACACTGCGTGGACTTCGACGTGGAGTTGGCCGCGGTGAGTTTGACGCCTCCCACGGCGCAGGGGCAGTTCATTGCGCCCCTGCCAGGTGGGGGTCATAGCTTCATCCATGGCTGGAAGGTGATCTGGTTGGTGGTGACTGGAACCATGGAATTTTCCTGGTTAATCTATGGTTAATCTATGGTTAAAAATGGTTAATAATTGGAATAACAATATAGTCTGGTTGGTGGTGACTGGAACCATGGAATGGATTATGACTTTCCATATATTGGGAATGTCATGTCATCCCAACTGATGAACTCCATGATTCTTCAGAGGGGTTGGTTGAAACCACCAATTAGTAATGGTCATTTTTGGGATTTACCAGCAAGAAACAATGAATGAATGGTTTATCTAAGTCAATCGATTGGATGGGTTGGAATTGAACCACCTAAACGTGTGGCTTTTACCCTCTGGTAAACTAAGATAACTATGGAAAATCACCATGCTATTCATGGGAAAACTCACTATTTCAATGGCCATTTTCAATAGCTATGTTAAATTACCAGAGGGTAAAAAACATGGGAACACCATGGGAAAAATATTGAAAACCATGGGATAGCATCAAGCATGATGAACAAACCATGGAAAACAACACCTGTTGAGAATATCAAAAAGGATGGAAACCCAAGTTTTTTGGGTTTTTTGTTACTGAGGGCGGAATTTTCCCTGCATTGGATGGACCATTGCAAGAGTTCCGGAAAAGGTTTTTGGGTACTGGCTACTGGTGCCGAGGGGATCCAACACTTCTCAACATTTCTGACAGTTCCAAGGTGCTCCCGGTAGCTAAGTTGGTTTAGTTCGTTCACTATTGAAAATGGCCATAGAAATAGTTGATGACTACCTATTAAAGATGGTGATTTTCCATACTTATGTTAGTTTACCAGATTTTGTCAATGGCCATTTCAGGAACCTAAATTGGAGGTACCGATTCCATATATAAGGCCATATAAGGCCTTTTTTCAGGCCTAAATTTCAGGGAATATCCCCAGAATTCATATGGCCAACAATATGGTACTAACGTACCTCCATTTTAGGATCCTGAAACTCCCATTGGCTAGGTGAATATTCTATGGTTTTTGGTTTATGGCAATCAAAAAGTATGGCTAAGCTGGCTATAAACATAGCTGGCGGATCCCACATTGTAGTTGTAAGCCGTTTAAACTTGTAAATGGGGATATTGTATATACGTAGACTATATTTATTTCATGTTACATACGAGTAACCGGCAAGATTAGCTAAAGGACTTGGAATGTTCAACTTTGTGTGAAGACCTTCACAGCGAATAGGGCCCCTCCCACTTACCGATACCATATTTAAACCTTCACAACTGATATGGGACCACTCACTTTGGCAATGTCCATTGCGAGGAATAAATGATTTTGTCCGCATAACTGGCTATACTATTCTGCGAAATACTAGGGTGATTACAGCTAAATATAGTGATTTTACGTTATTATAATAGTTATACACCATAGTATTAGCTAAAAATATAGTTATTTGATGGTTATCACAACTATTTGCGTATCATACACAACGGTATGGTTATTATTTATTATAGTCATTGGCACCAACTTAGCTCACGTTTTTTTTCCCCCATCCTCTGTGGTGATTGCCCACTTCGGTGACAAGTGGCAGCGCTGCCGGCAGGAGCTGAGAATTGCTGGAGTGGCGACCAACTACCAGCTGTGATCCGCGTACGTCTCCTGACCGAAGCGGTTGAAACGCCAATTGGAATTGGGAGATACTGTGGATCTGAATACATACATTACATACATCACATACCATTACTATCATTAAATACATTATATAGATTGCATAGCATTACATACATCACATACATTACATACCATTACATACCATTACATAACATTACATACCATTACGTAACATTACATACATTACATACCATTACATACCCTTACGTAACATTACATACCATTACATACCATTACATACCATTACTTACCATTACATACCATTACATACATTACATACCATTACTTACCATTACATACCATTGCATTCCATTACATACATTAAATACATTATATAGATTGCATAACATTACATACATCACATACATCACATACCATCAGGTAACATTACATACATTACATACCATTACTTACCATTACTTACCATTACATACATTACATACCACTACATACATTACATACATTACATACCATTACGTAACATTACATACCATTACTTACCATTACATACATTACATACATTACATACCATCACGTAACATTACATACATTACATACATTACATACCATCACGTAACATTAGATACATTACATACCAGTACATACCATTACTTGCCATAACATACCATTACATACCATTACATACCATTACATACATTAAATACATTATATAGATTGCATAACATTACATATATCACATACATCACATACCATCACGTAACATTACATACATTACAGACATTACATACCATCACGTAACATTACATACATTACATACATTACATACCATTACGCAACATTACATACCATTACTTACCATTACATACCATTACATACCATTACATACATTAAATACATTATATAGATTGCATACCATTACATACATCACATACATCACATACCATCACGTAACATTACATACATTACATACATTACATACCATTACGTAACATTACATACCATTACATACCAGTACATACCATTACTTACCATTACATGCCATTACATACCATTACATACATTAAATACATTATATAGATTGCATAACATTACATACATCACATACATCACATACCATCACGTAACATTACATACATTACATACATTACATACCATCACGTAACATTACATACATTACATACAGTACATACCATTACGTAACATTACATACCCTTACGTAACATTACATACCATTACATACCATTACATACCATTACTTACCATTACATACCATTACATACATTACATACCATCACGTAACATTAGATACATTACATACCATTACTTACCATTACTTACCATTACATACATTACATACCACTACATACATTACATACATTACATACCATTACGTAACATTACATACCATTACTTACCATTACATACATTACATACATTACATACCATCACGTAACATTACATACATTACATACCATCACGTAACATTACATACCATACCATTACATACCATTACAAACATTAAATACTTTTTATAGATTGCATAGCATTACATACATTACATACCATTACGTAACATTTTATACACTACATACATTACATACCATCACTTAACATTACATACCATTACATACCATCACATATCATTACTTACCATTACATACAATTACTTACCATTACACACCATTACATACGATTACATACATTAAATACATTATATAGATTGCATAGCATTACATACATCACATACATCACATACCATGCTGTAACATTACATACATCACATACATCACATACCATCACGTAACTTTACATACATTACATACATTACATACCATTACGTAGCATTACATACCATTACATACCATTACATACCATTACTTACCATTACATACCATTACATACCATTACATACATTAAGTACATTATATAGATTGCATAACATTACATGCATTACATACATCACATACCATCACTTAACATTACATACATTACATACATTACATACATTACATACCATTACGTAACATTACATACCATTACATACGTTACATACCATTACGTAACATTACATACCATTACTTACCATTACATACCATTACATACCATTACATACATTATATAGATTGCATAACATTACATACATCACATACATCACATACCATCACGTAACATTATATACATTATATACATTACATACATTATATACCATTACGTAACATTACATATATACATTACATACATCACATACCAATACGTAACATGACATACATTACATACATTACATACCATCACGTAACATTACATACATTACATACCATTACGTAACATTGCATACATTAGATACATTACATACCATTAAGTAACATTACATACATTACATACATTACATTCCATTACTAACATTAAGTACATTATATAGATTGCATAACATTACATACAGTACATACATTACATACCATTACATACCATTACATACATTAAATACATTATATAGATTACATAACATTACATACCATTGAATACATTACATAACATACATTAAATACATTACAGACATTACAGAACATTACATAACATCATACAACATTACATAACATCATACATAACATCATACATAACATCATGCACAACATCAAACATAACATCATACAAAACACCGTACATTACATCATACATTGCATCATACATTACATACAGTGCATACGTTACATACGTTCCATGCATTAAACAACATTACATACATTACATAACGTTACATTATGATACATGACATCATGCATGACATACATAGCACACATACCCACATAACAGACATAACATACATAACATACATACCGTTCATAACATACATAAAGAACATACATATATAACATACATTACATACATGAAGTAACATTAAATAAGATTACATAACATCACATAACATTACATAATATGACATAGCATTACTTAACATTACATAGCATTACATGACATTACATAACGTTGCATGACAATACATAACATTACATACATTACATACATTACATACCATTACGTAACATTACATACATTACATACATTACATACATTACATACATTACATACCATTACTAACATTAAATACATTAAATACATTATTTAGATTACATAACATTACATTCATAACATACATAACATACATAACATACAAAGCACACATAACAGACATAACATACATACCATAGATCGCATACATACCATACATACCATACATACCACACATACCACACATACCATACATACATGCCATACATACATGCATGCATACATATACACACACATATACATACATATACATACATAAACATACATATACATACATATACATACATATACATACATATACATACATATACATACATATGCATACATATACATACATATACATACATATACATACATATACATACATATACATACATATACATACATATACATACATACATACAAACATACATACACATACATATGCATACATATACATATACATATACATTTACATTTACATATACATATACATTTACAAAATAAATGCATAGGTACATAATACATACATACATACATACATACATACATACGTACATACATACATACATACATACATAAACATACATAAACATACAACTACATACATATACATACGCACATACATACATGTACATACATACATATACATACATATACATACATATACATCCCGGCGGAAGGGAAACCGCGCGAGCGTTTTGATTGGTTGCTTCCAGGAGAGTCACAATCACCTGTAATTTACAATATAAAATGCTCTTCCGCTCAGTTTGGATAACTGAATTTGGGTTAAAAAAAGTGGATGCAAAACTCATTGATTTTTAACAAATCCAGGTAAACATCATGTGCATCAGACGTAGTAAACGATCCCAGAGATCTCAGCAGCGTAGCAACATGTCACGTAGTAAACGATCCCAGAGATCTCAGCAGCGTAGCAACATGTAACGTAGTAAACGATCCCAGAGATCTCAGCAGCGTAGCAACATGTAACGTAGTAAACGATCCCAGAGATCTCAGCAGCGTAGCAACATGTAACGTAGTAAACGATCCCACAGATCTCAGCAGCGTAGCAACCTGTAACGTAGTAAAAGATCCCAGAGATCTCAGCAGCGTAGCAACCTGTAACGTAGTAAAAGATCCCAGAGACCTCAGCAGCGTAGCAACATGTCACGTAGTAAGAAAGTCCCAAGGATCTCAGCAGCGTAGCAACATGTAACGTAGGAAACTATCTCAGAGATACCAGCAGCGTAGCAACATGTAACGTAGTAAAGGATCCCAGAGATCTTAGCAACATCGCAATATATCCTGTACGAAGTACGAGGAACGTTAACATGCTCCCCCACCCCACCCCACCCCAACCCCAACCCACACTAACACGGCAATATATCCTGTACGAAGTACGAGGAACGTTAACATGCCCCCCCACCCCACCCCACCTCACCCCACCCCAACCCCAACCCACACTAGAGATCTCAGCAGCGTAGCAACACGTAACGTAGTAAAAGATCCCAGAGATCTTAGCAACATGGCAATATATCATGTACGAAGTACAAGGAACGTTAACATGCCCCCCCACCCCACCCCAACCCCAAGACAAAGAGCAATACTCAAAAAAGAAGCAAAACG